AGGGCGGGACTCTTGAAACTGCTACAGAACGCAGGGACTCAGGACCCCCCAGGCTCCCCTCCATGCCTCTTGGAAAGCACTTCTAGATATCATCTGACACCTTTTGGGTTTTCCACTTCAACCTTACCTCCCCTGGAGTTCCTCCAGAATTCTCCTCTGACCAAGGCTCTCCCAGAATGTGTTCCTACAACACTAATTGTATCTCCTGCCAATTCAGCTCTCCCACTCATGCTTGCACTGGTGGTCTTTCTTATAAGAATAATCTATAAGGGCCGGCAGGTGGCGTGGTGGTTAAGGGCGCTGGACTCCCACATGGCTGAGCACGGTTCAAGTCTCGGACCTGGCGGCTTTCTCTCTCTCTCTCTCTCATCCTGTCCCTCTCTGGTCAAAATGAAAAATGAATAAAGTTAAATAAAATAATTCTTTAAATCCCGGGGTCATGACTATGTGTTCTGGGTCTGCACACGGTGCGGCACCCAGCACAGAACCTACGTACTAGGGCAGGCAGAGGTGTCCAGGCCCCGGCTGTCACTGTCATGAGCTAGAAGGGGCACTGGCTTCACTGTTGTTTATACCGAGCACTAGGTACTATGCCAAGAGCGTAGGAAATGCTCAACCGACACGTGTTTGCTGAACTGAAGTGAGCGGATGGCTGTGTGAGAAAAAAGGGAAAATAGGAATTTCTGTTTAATTTTTTTTTTTAGGCTGTATTGCCCATGATGGCCTCAACTTACCATTCACCCGGGAGGTACTGGGGTTACAGGCACATGTGACTGCACCCCGCTGAAGACAGGTTTTTCTTATTGTTTATTTATTATTTTTAAATAGTGTCATTTTACATATTGAAAGAGACAGACAAGTTTTCCTGACAGGGTCTTTCTTGTCCCGCTGCACTCCTCCCCACTGCCCTTGGCCAGGGTCAGGGCACGCACGGGTGCACCTGCTGCGTGCCGAGCCCGGGCCTGCTGTGGGGCTCCGGTTCGGTGCGGTGGTGCCCTACCGCCCCCACCATGGCTGGGCCCATTTATTTGTTTTTAAAGAAAGAGCAGTTAGGGAGAAAGCAAGCTCTTTTAATTCTTCTCCAATACTGGGGTTTCAATGGAGGAACATACAGACTTTTTTTTACCAAAGCACAAGAGGTGTGCGGTATTATTTGAAATGACTGAGCGGCTGCTTGTCGGGTGTGCTCTGTAGCAGCAGCTGTGTAAGTAGAAAACCTACAAAAGTCTATTTTTTAAAAAAATATTTATTTAATTTTGTTTATTATTTTAATCCATCAGAGAGAGACGCTGAAAGAGAGAGAGGGAAAGTGAGAAAGCAAGGTGCTAGGTCTGGGACTTGAACCATGGTTGGCCATGTGGGAATCCAGCACTTCCCCCACCATGCTACCTGTTGGCTTCAAGATCTATTTAAAATATATACATAGTTCTTTCAAGAGGGAGAGAGCAACAGACACCCCCAACAGCATCCTGGCACCATGGTCCAGCCCCAGGCTCAGCCGGCCAGAATCATGGGCGTGAGTGTCCAAGCCGACCGTGCAGAGGGAGACCTCCGGCTGTGAACCCGGGACCTTCCCACATGGGTCTAACATCGCAGAGTGCCGTGTCACTACTGTGCCAACTCTGCCGGTCCGTAAGCCCTACTCCTACCAGGACAACCTGACACAGAGAGTTTGTATCTTTGAAAAACAAACAAGCCCAGGAGTGGTGGGTGAAGAAGAAGACTACCCACCTGGAGATGAAGAAAGAACTAACAGGTGGAGATGGGGAGAGCGGAGGCAGCCAGGGAGGTTTGGAAAAACTCAGCCCACAAACCCAAAGTGCTGGAATGGCTGGCAGGGAGGACGACGGTCGCTCGTGTGCAGAGCTTTCTTTTTCACCAAAGCATAAGAGTTGTACGCTCTCATGTAAAACGACCGAGTGGTTGCTTGTCAGGCGTGCCCTGTGGCAGCAGCTAGGGAAGGAGGTCTTCATATGTGTGTCTGAGGCTGTCCGGACCCCCGTGAGATCAGGGTTCCCGGAGGAGAGAGCTTGTATCTGTGTAAGGAAGCGCCTGCTGTCGGAGCCACGCTAGGTGCCATGGGCGCAGCAGGTGGTCCATCAACCGCGGTTGAGTGGAGTTCTCTAAATCCCAACCGCGGCTCGAAAGGCTCTGACCCAGAACTGTCTGGTTGCTTTCACTCGGCCTCGAAAAGCAAAACAACCGCAAACCCAAAGATTCAATGTTGAGGCTAGATGAAACGATTCTAACGCTTTAGCAATTTGTGTGCACGTGAAAATCAAACAGAAGCCCTCCCTCTCCCCTCGCCCGGGTCTCCCTGACTTCACAGCAGCTCACAGACTTCAGATGATCACAGGACCCCAAGTGGTGGGCCACCCCCCAGGGAGTCACTGTGCAGCCCAGGAGACTGAGTGGTGGGGAGACACGTGGAGGGAGCCCCCACGGTCTCTGTGGCTGCGCAGTGGAATGGTTAGTGAAAGGGAGCCAGCACACAGTCCCCGCCCTGTTTTCCCCTGTGATTTTATGGACAGCTTCAGCTCCCG